AACTAAAAATATATAGAAAAAATTAGTCGGGCATGGTGGCACATGCCTGTAGTCCCAGCTACTTGGGAGGCTAAGGCAGAAGGATCACTCGAGCCTAGGAGTTTGAGGTTGCTGTGAGCTAGGCTGACACCACAGTACTCTAGCCTGGACAACATAATGAGATTTCTGTCTCAAAAAAAAGTACATTTTATAGGTTTCATTATCTGATTTTTATTCCTTTCAAGTTTCAGAGACCTCCATTATTTCTGCAAGGCAAGTGAGGTTCTGGTAAAGGAACAGATTATTCAGCTGTAGCTTCCTGTCCTCATCTGTATTCTTGGAGTACCTTGTTCTACCTGAATGCTCACTTCCTGAAAGGGGCCAAGACTGCATGCCCTGAAGACCTAAATGACCACAGACAGTTCACTTGTGGCCAGGCCCCAAGGATAGTCCCTCCTGGATTTATAGTAGGCTCCTTTGCTCATTTTCCTGGAGACTTAGGACGTATGAGAGTCCACAGTGTTAATGCCCAGGTGCCCCTTGTGTCCAAGATATAATAGTGTATGGTGAGTATCCAAATATTGCTGAATCAATCAAAGAAAAATGAACTACTGACACTATAAAATGTAAGAGTGGCTGGTCTGGCCTCTCCCTGTTAGGAGTCATGGCCATAAAGAGAAGGTCATGGAATAATACACTTGGTGCACTGGCCTTTTGCACTAAAGTCAGAAAGGATTTTGTGATACATTGAAAATACAGTCAGGCCTCTGAATCCCAGAGTTCTGCATTTGTAGATTCAACCAACTGAGGATGGAAAAAAAAAGACAGTTGCTTCTATACTGAACATGTACTAACTTTTTTTTCTTATCATTACTCACTAAACAATACAGTGTAACAACTATTTACATAGTATTAGGTATTACAAGTAATCTAGAGATGATTTAAAGTATGTGAGAGGATATGCATAGGTTATTGGGAAATACTATGCCATTGTATATAGGGGAATTCGGTATCTGGATTTTGGTATCCATGGGGGTCCTGGAACTACTCCCGCAAAGATACCTTACAAGCCAGCAAGAGTCAAATCTGTAGCTTAGGCAACCAAAGCAAAATTGGATAGTATAAATGTGATCACATCAAGCCAAAAAGCTTTTGCACAGCAAAGGAAACAATTAGCAAAAGGAAGAGACAACCCACAGAATGGGAGAAACTATTCGCAAACTACCAATCTGACAAGTGATTAATAACTATATAAGGAGCTCCAACAACTTGATAGGAAAAAATCAAGTAGTCTGATTAAAAACTGGGCAAAGCGCGGTGGTTCATACCTGTAATCCTAGCACTCTGGGAGGCCAAGGTGGGCGGATTGCTCGAGGTCAGGGTTCAAAAACAGCCTGAGCAAGAGTGAAACCCCATCTGTACTAAAAATAGAAATTAATTGACCAACTATATATATACAAAACATTAGCCGGGCATGGTGGCACATGCCTGTAGTCCCAGCTACTCAGGAGGCTGAGGCAGAAGGATTGCTTGAGTCCAGGAGTTTGAGGTTGCTGTGAGCTAGGCTGATGCCACGGCACTCACTCTAGCCTGGGCAAGAGAGCAAGACTCTGTCTCCAAAAAAAAAAAAAAAAACTGGGCAAAGGATCGAAAGACGTGTTCTCAAAAAAGACCAAGAAATGAACAGAGGCCGGCGGGTGCTCACGCCTGTATCTCAGCTCTCTGGGAGCTGAGCAGCGGCATTGCCGAGCAGGATTTGAACTAGCCTGAACAAGAGGGACCGTCTCTACATAAACTAGAAAGAAATTGAATGCAACTAATAAAGAAAAATAGCCGGGCATTGGTGAACATGCCGTAGCCCAGCTACTCGGAAAGCTGAGGCAGGACGATGCTTGAGCCAGAGTTTAAGGTTCTGGAGCAGCTGAGCCACGCCACACCAGCCAGGCAACAAAGCGAGACTCTGCTCCTAAAAAAAAAAAGCCACAGGTTATAAAAAATGGTCAACATCATTAGTCATCATTGAATTGCAAGTCAAATCTACAATGAGATATCCACCACCAGTTATTAGTCGCTTTTATCAGAAAACAAGCAAAATGAATGCTGCAGGATCTGAGAAAGGGGAATGTTCATTACAATCTAGAAATCAAATATGCAGCCACTTATGGAAACACATGGAGGTTCCTCAAAAAACTAAAACAGAACTACCACGTCACTTCAGCAAGTCCCGATCAGGTATTTATCAAAAAAAAAAGAAAATTTAGATATAAAAGATATCAGCGTTCACAGGCTCACGCCCTGCCCATAAACCGGGAGACCGGGCGGGCGGATCGCTCAAGGTCCAGAGTCGAAACCAGCCTGATCGAGACCCTACTCTACCAAAAAGAGAATTAATGAGCCAACAACAATAATATCATAAACTTAAGCCGGCAGGGGGCATCCAGAGCCCAACTACTCGAGGCTGGAGGCAAGAGGATGCCTAACCCAGGAATGAGTGCGTGAGGCTAGGCTGACGACATGCACTCACTCACCGGGCAACAAAGTGAACCGTCCACAAAAAATAAGAAAAGATATCCATACAGGCCTATTGCTGAAGCACTATTCACAATAACTGAGTTTTTTTTTGGGGTCTTTGAGCAGGAGTCTCTTTGCCCAGGCTAAAGTGCCATGCATCAACCTAGCCACAGCAACCTCAAACCGACCGGTCACACCTTCTCGCTGGGACTTACAGGCATGTGCCACATGCGCTTTTATTATCTGATCATTATGAGACAGAGACCTATCCGCTGTGTGCCAGTCCTGCGGCGTAGCTAGCTCACACAACCAGCCTCCAATCACTACAGCTTGCACCCCTCATCGCGCTATTACACATACTTAAAGCGCCATAATCCTTTCTTCTATTATAAGTAAGACGATGGTCTCTCGCTTGCATCAGGCTGGCTCGAACTCCGACTCGAGCAATCTGCTCCTCGGCTCCAGAGTGCTAGGAATCACAGGCGTGACCGAACTGCGCCGTGCCCCACAATAGCGAGTTGAAAAAACTAAGTCCTATGAATAATAAGAGAAGTGTTGTGGTACAATAACCCATGATCAATGAATGTTATAACCCATCAAAAAAAGATACAAAAAGCCTGCCATTATCAACAACATGGATGGGCGGCAGGACCATATGTTAAGTGAAGAAGCCAAGCCACAGAAAACAATCTTTTTTTTCTTTTTGAGACAACGAGTCAACTTTGTGCCCAGGCTAGAGGCAGCTGCAGTGGTCGTCAGCATAGTCACACAGCAACCTCAAACCTGGGCTCTAAGTAAAACCTGCTGCCCCTCAGCCTCCCAAGTAGCTGGGCTACAAGCAGTGTGCCACCAATGCCCGCTAATTTTCTAATATATATTAGTTGGCCAATTAATTTCTTTCTATTTATAGTAGAGACGGGGTCTCGCTCTTGCTCAGGCTGGTTTTGAACTCCTGACCTGGATCAATCTGCCTGCCTCGGCCTCCCAGAGTGCTAGGATTACAGGCGTGAGCCACCGCGCTCGGCCAGAAAGACAAGTCTTAAGTGTTCTCACATGTGGGAGCTAAATATTAAAAACAATCTAATGGAGACAGAATAGAATGACAGTTAACAGAGGTTGGGAAGGGTAGCAGGGAGGGAGGATAAAGTGGTGATGGTTAATGGATGCAAAAAAGATAGATAGATAGATAGATAGGATGAACAATATTTGATAGCACAACAAAATGACTGTAATCAACAAGTTAGGGTGTACTTTAAAATAACTGAAAGAGTGGAATTGGAATGTTCCTAACACAAAGAAATGATACATGCCTAAAATGATGGATATCCCAATTACCGTGATTTGATTAATTCACATTGCATGCCTGTATCAAAACATCACATGTGCCCTACAAAGATATACAACTGTTATGTACCCATAATAATTAAAAGTTTTAAAAATCTGAAGCTTAGAATCTGAGGGTAAAAATAGGCCTATTATCAGTAAGTATTAATAAAAAGAAGAGTTCCAGAGTTTTCATCCTTGGAGAATTTGCATTTCAATGTGTTGTATTTCAGCAAGTTGGAGGCCTTTATGCTTACAGCTCATACCCTGAAGTCTTTTTGAGCTCCTTTCTGTATAGCAATTCAGCAAAACCTTCCCCCAGGGTGAAACACCTACTCAACTACTTGATGACCTTGAGCAAGTTACATTCTCTTTAAAGTTTGCTTAATACCAGAGTTTTGAGGGTCAGGTCAGATTGTGTTTGAAGGCTTCGTAAAATGCTAATCAAATACGTATTTGGGCTCAGCTCCTGTGTAAAGCAATGTATTACCCACCCACCCCAATTTAGAATATTAATAGAATTAAGGATTTGAAAAAGAATGAGGGAGAGCAATAAAGAATGAGTGTCTACTGTGTGCTGGCATGTTGCATACATTATTTCTAATTCTGTCAACCTCTTAAAGTACAGTCATACTGATGAGAACCCTGACCTGAACTTGGATGACGTTAAAGTCCATATCTTCTTCCTGGGTCATGGTACTCCTCCAAGTAGAAATTGCAGGCTGAAAACAAAATAGGTTAAAGAAGGTTCTTTAGATGAAATTATTATGGAGGACAGATCAGAGGTGGATTCCTGAAGGGGAAGTTCCCTAACCTTTAAGGTCTGCATTATGTAGGGCAGCCATACAAATTGTGCCTGAGTGGGTCCCGATGCCTGGGTCCCTGTGACAGTCGGGGCTGTCAGCTGCAGCAGTTGTGTGCTGAGGCATTCTCCAGGGCCCTGCACACACAGAAATTGAAGTCACTTCCAGAGAAGCAAGTGTGTTCCCCACAGTCTGGCTTTGTCTCCTCAGGGCCTGAAGGCCAAGTGAGCCCTAGAGGAAAGACTGGTCACCTCAGCTGGCCTGCCTGGTCTCAGGCCCGAGCTTCCCTCACCCTCCACCAGAGGTCACCCCCGAATGAGACTGGCCCTGTGCCCTGTCCCTGCTGAGCCTTGGCCTGCATCCCAGGTTTGCAGTTGTGATTTATTTTTGGCACGTCAGCCTTTGGTCATCAAGTAGCAAAACCCAAAAGAAGAACAGCAAGATATCTTACTCTGGCCACAAGTGTCTGCTTGGGACACAGCTTCTGCCCTCTCTGGTCTCCTTTCCCCGAGGGGCTGTGGGACCTTTGGGATTCTTGTCAAGCTCATTAGAGGGCCCACAAGGACCTAACGGTGAGTAGCCAGGCCAGCAATGGACAGAAGCCAGCAGCAGGCAGAGAGAGGGGAGGCCGTGGGGTGGAGAAGACAGAAACCCCCGAATCCATTAGATCCATTTCTCTGCTGAAGGCAGTTGGACCCAGGAGAGCGGCCGAATTAACTCCTGTCTTGGGGGGGGGAGAGTTTCCTACAGAAAGTGGGTCCCTGTGGCTGTGTTTGGACTTTCAGAGTTTGGGGGAGGGATGTTACGTTCCACAAAGGACCGGGCCACCTATTCCCATTTGGAGACCCTCTCCAAAGGGGGTTTGGAAAAATTGTGAGGGGTGGTTGGGATAGCCGACAGAGGCACAAAGTTGGCCCCATTTGGGCCTCGGAGCAGGGGATGGGGCAAGATAAACATTCTCCCAAGCCCGCCCCCAGGAAAGGCGAGTGCAGCCAGAACTTGGTCAGGCTGGCTGTGCCAGGGAAAGGCGGCCCGGGCCCAGGATGGCATCTGGCGAGTGAGGGTGGAGGGCTATAGGTACATCCTCTGCCCATGGAGGGCTGGGGAGGGGAGGAGGTTGGTGCTGCTCAGCTCTGGGAGGTGAGGGACACAGATGCTTGTCTTGGGAACCTGGGACTTGCCAGGAAATAGGTTGTTTTGTGGGGAATAGAGACTCCTGGGTCCCCCCAGGTTGCTGATGGGGCAGAGGAGGCTCGTGGGCAGCTCAGTTGCTTGCTACTGAGAGGACTTGCTGTTCTAAACCTTCCCCTGGTAACCAGGCACCCAGTAGTGAGGACACCAGGATTCCTGGAACAGCCAGCCCAATCTCTGAAGCAGCCAAGGCTGCTGGTCAGCAGATTGGCTCCTTTGAGAGGCCAGGCCTTCCTGGGCCCAGAAGGAGTGGTGGAAGTGGGGCAGGAGGCAGCTTTGGTCCTGCTGAGTGGCAGCTTGTGCCTGTTTTCTACTTGCCGCTTTCCATTTGTTGATAAATGATTTCCTGCATTCTTCAAATCCTGCATCTGAGGCAGGAGTTCAGTTCCCCGGTCAGAGCCTCTGCGTTCCTGAAGCAAGGCCGGCCAGCTCAGCTCCTCTGGGTCCCGGCCTGTGCGTCCTGGCTCTGTACTGCCCCGAGCTGCAGTGGTCCCACGCAGGGCTCAGTGGCTGTCATTAGCTAAGACGTGAGGCATCTTGCCAGCAGGACCCTGGACCAAAGGCGTCACTGCCCAAACATCAGCTCCCATCTAGGGAGCAGTGCCTGCTGTGCCTACACAGGGCGCAGAGGGCAGAGATGGCTGGGGCTCTGTAGAGAAGACCACCATCCACTGGGGGAGACGACAGCACATGCGACAAGCAATACCTGGATGGGTCCACGACTCACCCACCCAGCTCTGCCTCGCTCAGAGCACTGGGCACAGTGCTCGGCTAAGAGCGGGTCTTCAGTGTCTGTTGAATGAGGAAGGAACGAACGAACGAATGAGTGAGCGATTGTGAAGTTAATTTACGGATAGAATGAGAGACGAAGGAGCAGTGGGGTGAGCCGCAGGAAGTGTGTCCTGGAAGGAGGGGCGTTTTCAGGGTAGGACAGTTACAGCTGGGGACGATGCGTAGAGGCCACAGGGGTGGCATATTAAGAAGGGAACCCTGCAGCTTCTTACCTTTTCCTCCAGTGCAGACAGCAGCCCGAGGAACAGCAGGGCCAGCCTCAGCTCCTCAGAGAGGAAAGGAAAGGGCACTTTCATTTGCCCTCCGCAGTTTCTTTGTGGTTCTTTCTAAAAGCAAGGGCCTGCTGGCCCGTCAGCGCTAACCCTGGGCCTGGCCTGGACCGGCCTGGCTGACAGTCTGCCGCCCCCGCCTGGAACTGGAAGGAACCACATGGTCTCCTGGGGACACCGGCTGTACAGCCAGTGGGAAGATGCAGGCGGACTCTGCCCAAAGCTGCAGGCAGCAAGGGGGAGGAGAATCCAGAAGAAGGGAAGCCAGTTAACCCCGGGGGAGGGGTTGGTGCCAGAAAGGGCTAGAAAGGCAAAGGTGGCTGAACGTTTTAAATTTACAAACATTTATTTCACACATTCACCGCAGGCCAGCCTTGTGCCAGGAGATGTAGAGGTGAGTGAGAAGCAGCTCAGCCCTCCAGGGACACATCCCCTGGGGCAGGAGGCTGACAGCTTCTTTCTACGTCCCCCTCCCCCCCAGAGCCCTCGGAGTCAGCCTCGCAGAGCTGAGCATGACTCGGGACGAGGCGCTGCCCGACTCCCACTCGGCACAGGGCTTCTACGAGAATTATGAGCCCAAGGAGATCCTGGGCAGGTAAGGCCCAGACTTTCCCCGCCAAAGCTGGCCTGGGCTCCAGCAGGCCCTGTGGGCTGCAGCGGTCTCCGCTCCGCCCCGAGGACTGACCATCTCCATCCCCGAGGCAGTGCCCATTTGGAGAATCCCTGGGTTTGGGGTCCTGCCCTCCTGCAGCCAGGACAGGTGAGAAGAGTGTGATATCAGAGATCTCTCCCGGCAAAAAGTTCCCCAGTGCTGTTGACAAGCACGTCCAAACCCAGCTCTGGGCCAGGGTCAGGGACAGGGATCAGAGGGAGGCCGTGGCCCTGAGCGTGTGCTGCTTCTTTCCATATGCTGAGGAAGGGCCCCCAGCTGGGAGTCCGGAGGCCTGAGACCAGGCTTGTTACTCCTCAGCTCTGGGCAAGTCACCCCTCTGTGTCTTTATTTCATTGTCCACCATCCCCAAAAGTTCATAGGATTTGGGGGAAAGTGTAACTCACGTAACAAGGCAGAACATGTCTGCTTCAGCCTGGACCTGGGACTCCCCCTGGGGTGAGGAGCCCCCAAGGCCATCTGTCCTCTGCACCCCTAGGGGCGTTAGCAGTGTGGTCAGGCGCTGCATCCACAAGCCCACGTGCCAGGAATATGCCGTGAAGATCATTGACGTCACCGGTGGAGGCAGCTTCAGCTCCGAAGAGGCACGGGAGCTTCGGGAGGCCACACTGAAGGAGGTGGACATCCTGCGCAAGGTCTCAGGGCACCCCAACATCAGTGAGTGACGGCCCAAGCCACAGCAGGGTCCTCCACCATGACTCTGCCCTGGTAACCCAGGGCAGAGTAACCCTGGGAGTGTGGCCCCACCACACAGCTAGCTAGAACCATCCAGAACGTCTCCTGTGCCCTGAGGCTCGGGGTTCCCAGCTCCACCCTCACTGCTCCCACAGAAAGGGTCCCAGCCTGGGGGTGGATGCGGGTGGGGGAATGGGAGTTTGAAGTCCCCGGGCTGCCCAAACCCCTGGTTGGGGTCCTTTGAGCAGCGTCCCAATTCCCCCCTCAGCTTTGGCAGTTAATGCACAGCAGTCTCCATCCCCGTGCTCCCCTGCGCTCCCCCGTGCCCCAGCTGCCCCTACCTGGCCTCCCCTGCCACCCGAGACGAGCTAGCCATTTCCATTTCAGTACAGCTGAAGGACACTTATGAGACCAACACTTTCTTCTTCTTGGTGTTTGACCTGTAAGTACCCAGCCCTGGAGTCAGCCACAGCCTGGGGCCTCTGGGATAACCTGCCACTGTGGTCCCCTACCCAGCGCTGGCTGGAGTCCAGCAGCCACCCCCTCACTGTGGATGCCAGGGAGGGTCACAGATGCTTTAGGCAGGCCAGCCCCTGGGCTCTGGCTGCCAGGTTTGGAAACCTGGGTCCACCACTTACGGGCTGGATTATTTCTTTAAGTATCAGTTTTCTCCCTGGTATTACAGCAGTAATAATAGCACAGTGACTGGCATGATGTAAATGCTAATAATTATCAACTACAGTGACAACGACGATGGTGGGTCACTCAATATTTATTCCAGGCACTGAGGATACAGCAATGAAAAGACATACAAGGTGAATTGAACGCACTATATGATATACCGATTTTGTGAGGCATATATCACATAACTGCAGCTCTAGACTCATAGGATGAGTATTCGATGCAGTATTTACTCGCATCGACTTGATGAGACATGTAGACTTCAGGCACATTGTAGGATATGCCCGTGTAGGCAAGAGATACAAAGCGTACATCGCTCTGCCAGGAAGGGCATCCGGAGCCTGCAGATGAACCATTAATGAGCGCAAGAGGCGCGATATCCGGATAGAGATAGATAACTCTCTGTTCTGTTGCTAGCCTACAGAAGTAGTAGCACGTAGGTTCGTTGAGTTAAGCATCACTTCAAGAGATAGAACATAGATGGAGACAAAAACTAGATTCACACGTTGTCTTTTTAGGAAATAGTATAGACATCATAAAATCTTAGGGCGTCACTTTTTTTTTTTTTTTTTTTTGAGGAGTCCTCGCTTTGTTGCCAGGCTAGAGTGAGTGCCTGGCGTCAGCCTAGCCTCACAGCAACCTCAAACTCCTGGGCTCAAGCGAATCCTTCTGCCTCAGCCTCCCGAGGTAGCTGGGACTGACAGGCATGCACCACCATGCATGGCT